TATATTTTTTGAGACAGAGTTTCGCTCTTACTGTCCAGGCTGGAATGCAATGGCGCAATCTCAGCAGTGCCCGGTGGCACATGCCTGTAGTTCCACATACTTGGGATGCTGAGGTGAAAGAATCCCTTGAGCCTGGGAGGTCAAGGCTTCAGGGAGATGTGTTCGCACCACTGCACTCCTGCCTGGGTGACAGAGTGAGAACCTGTTTCAAAACAAAATAGGCCGTGGCTGGGCGTGGTGCCTCACGCCTATAATCCCAACACTTTGGGAGGCCGAGGCTAGTGGATCACCTGAGGTCAGGAGTTCAAGACCAGCCAGACCAACATGGTGAAACCCTGTCTCTATCAAAAATACAAAATTAGCTGGCCATGGTGGCAGATTCCTGTAATCCCAGCTACTTGGGAGGCTGAGGCTGGAGAATCGCTTGAACCTGGGAGATAGAGGTTGCAGTGAGCCAAGATAGCGCCATTGCACTCCAGCCTGGGTGACAGAGTGATAAGTAAATAAATAGGCCAGGCGCGGTGGCTCAGGCCTGTAATCCCAGCACTTTGGGAGGCCGAGAGGGGAGGGGTCATCTGAGGTCAGGATTTCAAGACCAGCCTGGCCAGTGTAGTGAAACCCTGCCTCTACTAAAAATACAAAAATTAGCCGGGCCTGGTGGCGGGTACCTGTAATTCCAGCTCCTCGGGAGGCTGAGGCACGAGAATCACTTGAACCCGGGAGGTGGAGGTTACAATGAGCCAAGATCGCGCCACTGCCCTCTAGCCTGGACAGAGTGAGACTCTGTCTCAAAAAAATAAAAAACAAATATCTGGGCATGGTGGCTCATGCCTATAATCCCAGCACTTCGGGAGGCCAAGGCGAAGGGATCACTCGAGGTCAGAAGTTCAAGACCAGCATGGCCAACATGGTGAAACACCATCTCTACTAAAAATACAAAAATTACCCAGGTGTGGTGGTGCCTGCCTGTAACCCCAGCTGCCCAGGAGGCTGAGGCGGGAGAACCGCTTGAACCCGGGAGGCGGAGGTTACAGTGAACCGAGATCACTGCCACTGCACTCCAGCCTGGGTGACAGAGTGAGACTCCATCTCAAAATAAATAAATAAATAAATAAATAAATAAATAAAATTAAAATGTCTAGAAGTGGGTTACCATCATGTGTTTTTCACCTTTTATGATTATTTTAGGTCAGCTCTATGGCTCTTCCACATGATTCAAACGAAACTTCCTATTTGCTACCTCCAAACAATGAGGACTGGGACCGGCAAGCCATTCCTGACTTTGTTTATGGGCAGAAGGATCTCATGGCAGAAGGGATTCAGTGGCCAAGGAATGCACCTGGCGTCCTGGAAGCTCTGCCACAGTCTCCGTTTGATGCTGCACTCTGCTCTGCCTGGAAGCAGCGGGTGGAGCTGGGGCTGTTTCGCTACCGCCTACGGGAGCTACAGACACAAATCCTCCCTGGTGCGGTGGGTTTCGTGGCTCAGCTGAATGTGGAGCGTGGTGTGCAGAGGAGGCGCCCACAGACCATCAAGAGCGTGAGGCAGGCATTTGACCCTGAACAGTTCAACTTCAACAAGATCCAGCCCGGAGAAGTCCTCTTCCGTTTGCACCGGGAGCCTGATCTCCCTGGGCCTCTCCTGCAAGAGGACATCCTTGTGGTGATCAACGTCAGCCCCTTGGAGTGGGGCCACGTGCTGCTGGTGCCTGAGCCTGCCCGCAGGCTCCCCCAGCGCCTGCTGCCCGGTGCACTGAGGGCGGGGATTGAGGCTGTACTGCTGAGCTTACACCCGGGCTTCCGTGTGGGCTTCAACAGCCTGGGAGGCTTGGCCTCGGTGAACCACCTCCACCTACATGGCTATTACCTGGCCCACAGACTGCCCGTGGAGCAGGCGCCAAGCGAGCCCCTGGACCCTGGAGGCCATTTGCATCTGCTCCAGGGCCTCCCAGCTCCGGGCTTCCTCTTTTACACTCGTGGGCCAGGGTTGGACTTGGAGTCCTTGATATGCAGGGTATGTCGGGCCACTGATTATCTGACTGACCATGAGATTGCACATAACTTGTTTGTGACCCGGGGAGCTCCGCCAGGAAAGACATCACCTTCCTCAGCCCTCACAGGGGTCAGAGTAATTCTGTGGGCCCGGAAGTCCTGCTTTGGGATAAAGGATGGTGAGGCTTTCAACGTTGCCCTCTGTGAGCTGGCTGGGCACCTCCCTGTCAAAACATCCCAGGACTTTAGCAGCCTGACAGAGGCAGCTGCTGTGGCCCTCATTCAGGACTGTCGGCTGCCCCCATCCCAGGCAGAAGAGGTACAGGCAGCACTGGTGGCCCTGATGTCCCAGAAAGAGCAATAATACTTCTGGATGTATTTATGTTCTTTTCTTCTTTTCTTTTGAGATAGGGTTTCACTCTGTCACCCAGGCTAGAGTGCAGTGGTGTGATCCCGGCTCACTGGAGCCTCGACCTCTGGGGCGGAAGTGATCCTCCCACCTCAGCCTCTTGAGTAGCTGAGACTACAGGCATGCACCACCACACACCTGGCCAACTGTTTTTTAACAATTAGGTGATTTTGTATTTTTTTTACATAGACAGGGTTTCACCATGTTGCCCAGGCTGGTCTTGAACTCTTGGGCTGAAGCAATCCTCTCACCTCAGCCTCCCAAAGTGCTGAGATAACAGGAGTGAGCCCTTGCACCTAGCCTGGATGTATTTCTTTTCTTTCTTTTTTTTTTTTTTT